GCCTCTCAATGCTGCCAAAGAGTGGGTTGCCTTTTTTGGCCTCCACATCACCCTGCTGATTCACACTGAGAGTGAAGTCCCCTTAAACCCCTAGATTTTTTTTTAGACAAACTGCTCTCTAGCTATGCCTCTCCCATCTTACATTTAGGATGTTGATTTTTTTTAATCCCTATAAGGAGTTTTATCTTTATTCCTATTGAATTATATCTTACTGGATTTATCCTGATGCTAAAGCTTTTGAATCCCAACTGTCTACAAGATACAAAACCAATAGTGTTTTTACCTAATAATAACAAAATCCAAGAGGAAATCATGGAAAGGAGAATCCCATTAAAAATAAGTACACAATGCATAAAATATTTTAGAGTCAATCTATCAAAGCATACTTAACATTTGCACAGATTAGATTATAGAATGTCTTAAAGAAATAAAGAACAATCTAAATAGTTTAGAGGAATATTCAGTGCTCATGGCTGGGACCAATATAATACAAATGACAATACTACCAAGGTTATTTTATAATTTTAATACTATTCCAATCAAACTACCAAAGGGATATTTTATAGAACTCAACAAAATAATAAGAAAATTCATTTAGAGGAGCAAAAGACCTAGACCATCATTGGAAATAATAAAAAAGGTAGAAATGAAGGAGGAAGAGCACTTCCAGACCTCAGAGTAAATTATAAAGTAGCAATTATCAAAACCTTTTATTATTGGCTAAAAATTAGAAAAGTAGTTCAATGGAACAGACTAGACAAGGGAGAATAAAAAATCATTGAACTCAATAACCCGATGTCTGATAAACCTGAAAACACTGATTTCTTAGAAAAGAAGCCCCTATTTGTTAAGAACTGTTAAGAACAAACGGGAAATCAGTCTGGCAGAAATTTGGCTTATACCAACACCTTACACCATACGCCACAATAAATCCAAAATGGATAGGCAACCTGAATATTAAAAGTCATACTATGAAAAAAATTGAAAGAGAAGCAGATCATATTCCTTTCATAGCTATGGAAAACTGAATTCTTAACCAAAAAAAGGATAAAAGCAATTGCAAGAAATAAACTAAATAATTTAGTTCCATGAAATTGAAAACCTTTTCTACAAAGAAAATTAATGCAACTAAGATAGGAAAGGAAGTAGTCATATGGACAAAAAAAAATTTCAAATTTCTCAGATAAGCACCTGTACCCAAAATACATAGACAACAAAGAGAAATATATTAGACAAAAAAGGTACTACCCAATAGATAAGTAGTCAAAATATATGAACAATTTTCAAAAAAAAATTACAAACTCTTGACAACTATGAAAGAATGCTCCAAATCATTAATAAAAGAAATTCAGAACAGCTCTGAGGTTTCACTCCATACCCAGCAAATTGGAAAAAATAACAAAAAATGTGAATAGTCAATGTTGAAGAGGTTTTGGAAAGATAAGCACTCCAATGCATTGTTGGTGCAGTTGTGTATAACCATTCTGGAAAGCAGTTTGGAAATATGCAAATAAAGTGACTACCCTTTGACCCAAATATTGAACTATTAAGGATATACTCCAAGGAGATCATTGACAAAAAGAAAGACTCCATATACACAAAAACATTTATAGCAATACTTTTTGTAGAAGCAAAGAAATGAAAACAAAGTAGGCTGTCCATCGATTGAGGAAGGGCTAAACAAATTGTGGTACATTCATGTAATGGAATGTTACTGTGATATAATGTCTCCCTTGTCTTAAAAAAAGAAAAAAAAATATGTCACTTGATCCATCCATCCCTGCTAGCTCTTCTCCCTTTTACTCCCATATTACTCCTCCCTTTTGTGGTCATATTCCTTGAGAAGGCTACAATAAGTGCCTCCACTGCCTTTCCTCTCACTCTTTTGACTCTGCAGTCTGCCTTCTGACCTCATCATTCAACTGAAACAACTCTCTCCAAAGTTACTAACAATCTCTTAATTACCAAATCTAATGGCCTTTTCTCAATTCTCATTTTTCTTGACCTCTCTGAAGCCTTTGACCCTGACAGTAATTCTCTTCTCCTTGATATTCTTGTCTCTCTAGATTTTTGGAATTCTGCTCTCTCATGGTTCTTCTCCTACCATCTCACTGATCCATCTCAATCTCCTTTGCTCAATCTTTATCCAGGATACACTCACTAACAGTGGGTGACCCAGGGCTCTGTCCTGTGCCATCTTCTCTTTCTCTATACTACTTCACTTGGTGATCTCATCAGCTCCCATGGATCCAATTATCAATCATCTCTATACAGATGATTCTCAAATCTACTTATCCAGCCCTTACTTCTCTGGTGACCTCTAGTCTTACATCTCCAACTGCCTATTGGACATATCTAAGATGCCCGCCCTGTAGACATCTTAAACTCAATATGCCTAAAACAGAATTCATTTCCTAACTTCTCTATTACTGCTGAAAGTTCCACCATTCCCAAGCTTGCAACCTAAGTATCATATTCTATAATTTACATGTTTTCTGCTTTGCTTTAATATTGTTTGATGTCTTATGGAGTCATTGAATTCTGTGTGATCTCTTCTAGTTTTCGGAAAGTCCATTACTTAGTTAAGCTTTACTATTTTCTTTTCCAAGATATTTATTTTTCCGATTATTTCCTTCAGAGCTTTTGTTTCATTATTTAATCTCTTGCTTTATTATTCCTATTTATGTGTGTAGTCTTTCAGATGATACAAAGTTGGAAGAGATAGTTATGTTGGATGACAGATCACGAAAGACCAGATATGACAGTCTAAAACTAAAAAGATTCAATTTAAACAAAGATAAATGTTAAGTCTTGCATTTAGGTCTCAAAAAATCCATTCTATCTTTACAGAAAGGGAAAGGCTTAGTTAGAAATCCACATGGGAACAGAGTAGGGGTTTATGTACTGCAAACTCTATATGAACCACTCAGGTCCTCAATGTCTTCATCTATAAATGAGTGGGGGTGGAGATTGGAATAAATGACCTTTAAGGTCCCTCGATTTCTAAAGCTATGATCTAAACATCCCATGAACATGGTGGCATAGATTATAAAAAAGTTCGTGCCATTATGTCAGTCAGGCAATAAGCACATATTAAGTGTCCACTGTGTTCCAAGCACTGTGTTAAGTACTGGAAATACAAAGAAAGGCAAAAAACAGTCCCTGCCCTCGTGGAGTTCATAATTTAATGAAGGAGACAATATACAAACATATATGTAATTGTGGAGAAGCCACATGTTAATTTCCAACTAATTCCTATATGCTTTAGATTTATATTTCTCCTGCAACCTCTTTACCAAGTAATGAATGAGCCTCAAACAAATGTTACCATCTGTCCATATGTAGATGGACCTCTGTGATCACATTCTGTGCTACTCTTATCCATATTCTCCAATAAAACCTCCATAGGAGGTCCACCTGATCAATCTGTCTGATCAATAAGCATTTACAGCATTAAACACCAACTATGTACCAAGCACTATGCGAGGTGCTGGGGGTCCAAAGACAAAAATGAAAATAGTCCCTGCCCTCAAGGAGCATCTGTTCTATTAGAGGAATGTACTGGAAAGTCTTTGAAAATGCTCCCAGGAACAGGCTCTTTATCCCTTCTTAGGATCAGCCAAGCCAAATTCACCAAGATTCATCACTACCAGTAGGCTGGGCACTGACTGATAAGGTATCTGATCATGGTAACCTGAGTAAGCAGCTTGTATTTATTGACCACCAGCTATCAGGCTGGCCCTGTGGTGGGCCCTCTGGAGTTACAGATGGAGCACAAGACATGGACCCTCCTCTCAAAGAATCCCACAGTCTAATTAGGGAGAGAAGACTAGCTCAAATAGACCACCAGGGAGCCGAACTCAGAATATCATCTGAGTGCTGTGGTATCGCACAGAGCAAAATTCTACAGGAGGTCATAGGAGAGAGAACTCATGGAGAGCTGACATAAGCAGGGGAAGATCCCTAGGGATAATGAGTGGGACTTGAACTTGAAATGAATAGGGAAACCAGTTGGGTGCTTTGAAGAATATCCCTAAAATAGATATATGGTATAGCTACACTTCCTTCTGAAAGTTTGCTATAATAGTTAACAACCTGTTTCATAACTCTATCTCACAATCATGAGTTATTTTGTAATGCAAATAATCCCTCAATAATTTATATTTTGGAAACCTTTTTTTCCCAAAAAAATCTAGCTGTGTCACTTCCTTTCTCTGGGCCTTAATTTCCCCATCTGTAAAATAAAGGCATTGGAGTAGATCACGAATTTAAGGCTGGAAGAAACCTTTGAAGTCATCTAGTCCAACCCTCAAATTTTATAGCTTGAGTTCTTAACTTTTTTGCATCATGGACCCCTTTGGCAGCCTCATGGAGCCTATGGACCTTTTCTAAGAATAACGTCTCGATACTTGAAGGAAATGCATATCTCAGATAGTTAAAATAAGGGTGTAATTTTTTCCCCATGTAAGTTCATGGACCTTTGAGATCTTTCCATGGACCTCTTAGGAAACCTATGTACCTCAGCTTAGAGTCTTTGTTTTGTAGACAAGAAAATTGACACCTAGATTAAATGACTTTCCCCAAAGTTATAAAGGTCAAAAACAACAAAGCCAAGATTTGACCATAGATTCTCTGTCTCCACAATCACTATTCTTTCCAATGCGGCACCATGTGGATCTCTAAAATCTTTTTTTTAGCTGTAAAAGCTTATTTGATTCTATTTCATTAAATTGTCTCAAAATGATTCCCACCCATATCCATATTCCCACAATACTACACACAGAAACTAAACTAAAGCAAAGGATATTCCCTGGCCTCTGGAAGCTGATGATCTTAAAAAATCATCCCCCTGTCAGTGAGACATTTAGCTAGATATATGTGAATTATAGTCATTTTCCTTAGTACCAAATGCCCAAAGGACTCATTTTCCACTTCTTAATCTCATTTCTTTGGGTTCTATTCTGTCCCTTCTCCCCATCTCACCTCCTCCTTTTCTGCAGCAAACTATATGGAAATGGATTTGAAGAAATACAAAGCCACGCGTTCAATGGGACGACACTGATTTCACTGTAAGTATTCTCCTTATTCCCGCAGCTCATGAATAAAAATGAAACATTAATCTGGCGACCAGATCAAATTCAATCTTCAGCAACAAACTGTAGGTAAAAATAAACTTTGAAGTGGTTAGTCATCAGCACTCCAATATGTTACCAAGCAACTGACTGGCTAGAAACCCCAAAGCACCCTACTTTCAAAGACAGAGCAGGCTGTCTCCCTACAAAGAGGTTGACAGTTTGCTAAATATTCAACAACCTCACTTCATACTTTCTTCATCTCACAACTTCCCCCTATAACCCCCTTTTCAGATAGATGGTATTTCAGAGGAGGCACAATTTTAGGGGGGAAAATTCTTCTTAAGAGCTTTCTTTCTAGACCCCATTGGAGAGAAATCAAAGTCTGGTTTTCCTGCTGGCCAAGAGTCCTAATGTTCAATTCCAAGTTGCCACCATGGCACTTTGTTCCTAGATCAACCCTTGCATAGAGAGAGCTCACTCACCTTTAACTCAGTAGGAGAATCATGCCCCAGCCATGTTTCCTCCTTCCTTTTCACTTTTCTTTGGTCCCTTGGCCTCCTAAAAAATGCAGTGATAGATCTCATGTGCAGCTGATGACCCAGTGATGAAAGACAAGTTAAACAAAACGTGTTTTAAAATAGCAGTGCCATACTGAATGTCTACAGGAAGGTATTTTTCAAAAAACTATCTTGCAGCAAGTATATCCATATAAGAACTTGACTATTTAAAAAAAAACAAAAATAAAACAAATTAAGGAGACTACCCATGTTACTAAACAAATCATGCAGATCTTGACCTCATGACAAGTTAAAACTCCATAAAAGAAGCAACTTAGTTTGGTCTCAGACCTGAACCAAATGCCTTTTTATGTGATTCTCCATATCTAATGATAACTTTTGCCTTTTTCTATATACAGAGGTATCTACAGATACATATGGTTTGAATATCTAGAGAGACACATGCAGGAGTCCAGTTGACATATCTAATTTGTGGTTCACTTGGGTTCTTTAGATCAGTTTCTGCCATGAATATGCATAGATACTCATGCCTTGTCTAATATTTGGTTCAACAAAATCTCAATTAATCAGAATTCAATTTCCACCTGTGAAGAGAAAGAAGAAAGTTAATAGTAAGGATTTTGTTTTAAAAAAAAAAAGGGAAAAAATCTAGTTAATTCCCCATGCTCAGCACTTATTCAACCCAGTCTCCAACTATCTAATAATTGGAACCAATGATACTAAGGCTTAGTAAGAGCTGAGGTCAGCAAGTATGTGCTCAGTTATGTTTACTACACTATATTTAAGTCAGGAAAGATTTTAAGAACATCTTCATTGAAAAGGGTTAAACACAAAACAGGGAAAACTTTGAAAATCTTAAAGTGCAGTAGAAATATTATTAGTTAGTCGAGAAGCATTTATTAAGTGCTTACTCTGTGCCAGGCACTGCGCTGTTTGTTGTTATTATCATTATTATTACTGCTGTTGTTTTTCTGATTTGTTCACAGTTATCTAGAGAATTCAAGTAACCAGAATCTACCATTCCTAGCATTCTGCTGGCTTATGGGACAATCTGATTTTTTTTTTTCTTTTAGCCTCTCCCATTGAATTTTAAAAGGTAGTCATGTGGGTGTGTGCTGGCAGACTGAAGAGACTCCCCGCTCCATTCAGAATAGTTCCCCAAAGCAGAAAGCAAGAAAGTGTGGTCGATTTATTTGGTTTTTGACTGGATTACAAAATGTGTAGATAAAAAAGATTATGGTAGATGGAAGAGAACTAGCTTTAATAAACCATGCAAAGCTCTCTCTTGTGAAAATGTGAACAATTAATTTGAACTGGTTGTCATGGGGATTATTTACTCACATAGCCCAATTTGAAAGATTTACGATCATAACCGAACATAATTAAAACAAACTGAAAGCTGAGGAAGAACTGTGGCAGCTTGGGAAAGGAAACTTCATTTGATTTAGATTTCAAATAGTAATTGACTCTGACAACCTGATCTCTTTGAAAGTCGAAATATACTCAAGGGATGGGAATGTGCAAAATGTGTGCTTTCTGAAATACGTATGAAAGGAGTGAAGGTTTCTACAGTAGCACACTTAGGAGAAGCATCCCAAAAACCCCCTGGGGGAGTGGGCTGCCATGGTACTGATGATTTTTAGATGACAGGAATGATTTGGAGACCATCAGAAAGACAGGAAAGAAGATATAAAGCATCCCACTTTGAGACTAATGCCCAGTTAAATAGCCAATCATTACTTACTTCAAGACTTCTAAAGTCCCCTGATTGCCCTGGGGTGGGTCCTCCCTCCAACAATATAGTTCCCTAACCCTCTTCTGCACACTAATAGAGGATCTTCATGACTTGATTTGACCAAAAAGTCATCTGGTCAATAATCCAACCTTTGGGGATTTAACCACATTTGGTTCTTAGAGGACAAATACTAGATTCATCATAAGCGTAATTATTTAAAGGTCATTTCAGCTTGGTCCTAGGATCTGTTCCTTCCTCTGCCCTGTACACTGCCTCACTACAATGAGACATCATAGAAAGGCTTCAGTAGAGGGCTGTTTACCATGTAGTAATGACTAGATGAACAATGCATAGACTCACTACAAGGATGTCAGTTGTCTTCCTGGGTAACCTGGAATTCTATAACCAGGGTCCAAGGCACCCTGTTCCCTTTCCAACTCTGAAAGTATGACATTAACAGGGAGAAGTAGAATAGCTGGTTAACATTTAAATAGCACTTACTAGGTGCCAGACATTGTGCTACATACTTTAAAATTATTATCTCATTTGATCCTCACAACAAACCTGGCAGGTAGATGCTATTATCCCCATTTTACAGATGAGGAAACTGAGACAAACAAGGTTAAGTGACTTACCCAAGGTCATATGACAGTAAGTGTCTGAAGCAGGATTTGAATTCGGGTCTTCCTGACTCTAGGCCTGGCACTTCATCCACTGTGCCATCCAGAAGATTGGAGAGGCCGGGCTTGAACCACTAGGGCACTGGGATTCCCATTTGCTCATAGAAGAAATGCTTTCTAGAGTGTACACTGACAGTTTAAACTCACAAGGCCAAGCTAGACAAGTTAGCACTAAGCAACTAAAACTAAGCTCTAGTTTAAAAAGCAGCAAAAATCCTCAGGCAGCTATCCAAGTAGCTACTGTCATAGACCTCTACTGGGTGATAACCCTCCTCTCTCATCTCCTGATGCGGTCCTCTAGATTTATTGGACATTGCCTTGGACCCTCAGAATGGGGACCATAGCTCTTCCCTCCTTGGCTGCCTAGCTTCATCATGACTATCCCAGATCACCTTGCCCAGAGACCTTACGCCTGGGTAGTCCTCAGCAAGTAGTACTGCCCAACTGACCCAGGAACAACATAGGAGCTGTGATACAAAAAGAAAGAATTCTTGCTCATCTAGACATCTTCCTTTGCCCACACTGATTTGTGTTTTTAAACAACTCTTATCTGCAATCTGGAAAACATAACTGTTGCTTAAATGAATTTGCTCAAAAAAATTACACAGGTTCAATAAAGCTGCCTAGTCAATCTATACTTTTAATGAGCTATCTGAATTCCCTAGGTGACCCAGGAAGAAGAGGTCTGGGACTTTGGGTTTTGCTTTTTTTCCCCCTCACAATATCTCACTTCACAATTGATGCTCCAAGAGACACTATGTAGTCTTATACAGAAGGGCTGATCCTCATGGCATAGGAGCAGCCACTAAGGAATGATGATGTGATCTTATGTCTTCTGATATAACCTCCTGAAACACCAATGGATTAGAGGAAAGAGGAGATAAAATCATTGGTGAAACCTTTTGAGGCTCTGGGCTCAATCTCCCAGCTCTACCTTAACACTAATGGGTCAAATCACCAGAGCTAGGCCACTGCCCCATCTCTCTCCAAGATCCTAAAGGTACCCCTAATGGGGAAGCTGGGTTCTTCTAATACTTTCAGCTTATGATCCCTTCTGGTGTATTTCCCCAGTATCAAAAACCAATTATTTTTACCCCAATATTACTTGCCAGTGCCAGTTATTATCACCCCATTACTTAAACAATTGATCTCTTCAATATCATAAATAATTAATACCAATTAATTTTTACAAAGAGATATTTACTGAGAAGATAGAGGAAAAATAGAAATAGAAATATTTTCCACCCTAAATCATGCTCTCCTTCTTACTATCTTGGACCCTGGAGAGAGTGTGCTTGATCTTAATGTGTCCGCTACAAATATTTCCCCCATCAAATGCCCTTCTCAGTGTGCTATAGTCAGTGGGTAAGTTGCAGCCTTGCTTGCAGGAGATAGTGCCTAGGAAGTGAGGTTGATTCATTGCTGGGCTAAGTCAAACAGATGAGCCTGAGGGTTGGCTCCTCACCTGGCCAGCCTGAAAGTTAAACTTAGTTCTTTGACTTCTGTTAGTTCTTCTGACTTTTCAAAGCTCATCAGGTCATATCCTGGTCTGTTTGTCTCTTACCTTCATTCATTTAATATCAGGGGGAAAAGATGAAATGCAAAAGAGAGAGAAGACATAAAACTACCACGTGCATAAGGCCACGTGGTAGCCAAAGTAGGTGGCCAAAACAGGGGAAATAAGAGTCAATGGGGCAGGGATTGAGTTTGAATTCTTCCATTGGAGCCTTTTATGTGCACCCTCAGTTCCATTTTAGTAGGCCAAAAAAAGGCTTTTTTTCACCTCTCAGTAAGCAGATAAAAAACAGCCACAGAATGCCTGTGTACATGCTTTATACTGGGGACATGGTCCCTACATTATGTGCTATCATGCGTTTCCAGAAACAAACTTCCCAGATATCCAAGCATGCTGGCACTAGGGCAGAGCAAACTACGTATACTTGAAGGACTGGACCCCTGTTAGCCAACCTCCAGTTTACTGGCACAAAAGGCTAAAAGAGGAGTATCAGGAAAAAATCTGGTTTCCATTATTCCTTTCTTGATCTTTCCTTCATCTTTACTAACTTGAAGACTTCTCACCAATGATGAAAAGGCGGCTATTTGCATAATATGATTTCAAGGGTTCAGAGAAAACCTTTTTTTGCCTCAGAAATATCTCCTTCATGATGTTTGAGCTCTCTTTAATAGGGGGCTAAGCTTTTAGGTTCCCAAAGATTAGATTTATAATGCAAATTTTCTCTTGTCATGAGAAAGGAAAAGTAGTAATAAAATTTCAATGAAGTATAAACAAAGTGGTAGGGTAAAGGGAAGAGGAACTCGGGACCCGACATTGAAGGGTAAGAGATGTTTACCAAGGGGATCAGGAAATAGGAAAGATTGGAAGGAGATTAGGAGTATAGAAGACATATCTCAAAAGGCTTCCTAATTTTTCCAAGGACCAGAACTGAATGGTATTATTAATACTAATAACTTACATGTATATAGTGACTTTTATATATTATTACTTGATCCTCACAGTAAGCCAGGGAGGTAGATAATGCAGGTAATATTTTTTCATTTTAGAGATAAGGCAAATGAGTCTCAGAGAAATTTAAAAACCTGCCCAAGTTTACTCAGGTGGTCAGTGAAAAGATGGAACTCAAAGCCAAGGGTTCTGGTTCCAGATCTTGTGTTCTTTCCACTGTATCATGCTTCCTACTGGTTAATTCTTGACATGATGAAAAAAGACCCCATGCCATGCCATCATCCTATCCCCAGGAGCCAGCAGTTCAAAACAAGTCAAGCAGGAGGAGGGAGAAAGAAATGAGGAAGGAAGGGGAATGGTCTTATCTGATCAAAATAGCTTTTAGTATATCAGTCTAGGTTCTACCCCGCCTCCTTTGATTAGCCTGGCATCATCTGCCTTCCAGGGGTCCTACAGCACAAATTTCCCAGGCATCTGCTAGCTTATATTGGACCTTAAATCAAACTATCTCTTGCTGGGAGAGTGGAGCAGGAGAGGAAAAGAGTTATTGGACTGCAGTATCTTTCCTCCATATGCCAGATAGCTTCACCTATTTTTTTCTTTCTTTTCCCCCTATTCTCTTTATGCAGGGGTATGTATTGGTACATACAAGCATAATTTGGGGTATGAGGGCATACAGCCACATTCCAATATTGACACAACATACACGTAGCATTTCTCAGGAATATTAAAAAGATTAAGTCCTAAAGAAACACCATTCTCTTCCATAGGGAATTAAAGGAGAATAAGAACCTGAGGAAAATGCACAACGATGCCTTGAGAGGGGCAACCGGACCCAATGTTTTGTGAGTATGGTGAAGTATCCCCTACCACACCCTCCCTATCAAGGTTCAGTTGCTTCCACACCATCATCACAATTTTCAATTTGTACCTGATGATGCAGCTGTTGACAATGTAGACCTTATCAGGAATGTGGTGTGGAAGCCTGAGAATATATCAGAGTAGGCAGAGAATATTTGAGAAAGATCAAGAAGGTCTCCCTGCCCAAAATTATCTACACCACTTAGACAGGGCCAGGTGTAGGCCGCTTGTGATATGTGGAACATTCTGCTATCATGTCACACACACACACAGAATAATAGTCTCATTATTGCTCCTTAAGTTGAGGGGCTCCATCATATTAGAATGGCATTGATGGAATAGTGCCAAGGAAGCGAACACTCAGGAAGGCAAAAGGTAAACGTGGTAAATCTCTCAGTAAAATTGTGAGGTTGGAAAATTTGGTCTTTGCTGTCCTTGCCTCTCCTTATGCTATTTTTTTCTCCTCTCCATGTTCAGTTCCTGCCCCTGCCATTAAGTCTCCCAAATCCCACTAGTGTCTTCAGTCTAAGATTACCTTTCCACCAACTCTGTATATATCTTATATATACATAGCTGTCTACATGTTGTCTCTCCCGTGAATGTAAGCTCCTTGAGGGCAAGGATGAACCTTTTGTCTTTCTTTATAACCCCAGCTCTCAGCCTGGCCTATACTAAGTACTTAATAAATGCTTGTTGAATGACTGATTGCAGGTACTCAGGGCCTCTGGTTGCCCAGAGAACTCCATTCCACTGTCTCACTCAGGTCTGTCCTCCCAAGGCAGTACCCTGTCTTTAGATCTCCCTGTCCTAGCTTCCTCCTCTATCTAAATTAGTAAGTTGTACAACTCTAAAATGATCTAGGTTCAACCAGGTGAGGCTCACAATATCTAAAAAATTGATCTCTCCCAAAGTGTTAATACCGACTAGCTTCATATGCTACCACTCCCAGAGGTTTCCATATTTTGGCAAAACACGAGGCCTTAACCCAAAAGAATGATCCTATAATGGTGAAATTTTTAGATATGAGTGACATGTCAGTGGAGGACATATCCTGAAACCACACCTCCCATGAGCAGCTTCCTCTTCCTGTGTGTAAAGCCAACATTGGACCTATCTCGCTTCTGCCACTTTTCTCCATATCTTCTCTTTCATTGCAGCCTTCATCCTAGAAGTCTATAGTGCCTGACAAGAGATGGGGAGACCAGATGCTTGCCAGCCAAGCACTGACTTCTCAGTGACATAGAGTCCTTGTAGACAGTTGATTCTTGATCCTTTCACAAGGAGACTAAGTCCAATACTAAATGTAACCAGGTTGCAAGAAAGTGATGAAAATGCATACTGCCCTGCTCCTGGTGCTCTCTCCTATATGTTCATTCTTAGTTTTGAGAACTAGTGAAAAAACTGAAAGTAGGAAACATGTTATCTTCTTTAAAACACAAATGGGTAACTGGGTTCCCAAAGAGTTAACAAAGGCATCAGCCTACCCATTTAAGCCCATAAGACTAGAACACTGAATGTAAAATTTCACTAGCAACTCATGAAGCTTGTGAAAAGTGAATAGTTTTGTAAGATTTGTCATTTTTGTGAAAACTACAATCATTGTTTTTAAGATTTCTACTTCCGACAATCTAACACCAGAGAAGCTGAGTTCCAACCCCACCCTTGCCCCATACTACCTACATGGGCAAGTCACTTAACCTTCTTAGGTCTCAGTTTCCTCCTCTGTAAAATTAAGGAATTGGTCAAATTGTCTCTGAAATTCTCTCAGCCATGTCTGTTACATGTAAAGGGTATCATGAGGGAATATAAATTAAACAATAATAATATTAATTGACATTTATATAACATTTTAAGGCTTTTGAAGTTTTAGACACATTATCTCAAGAAGGTACGCCGCTCAGAAGCAGTTTGTTGTCTAGTTGGATACCCAAGAAGAAACAAAAATTAAGCACCTGCTATGTATCAGGCACTGTGCTAAGAATTTTACAAATCTTATCTTATTTGATCTTCACAGCAACTTTTGCAGATAGATGCTATTATGATCCCCATTTTACAGTTGAGGAAACTGAGGCAGACTGAATTAATTGGCCCGGGGTCATACTGCAACTAAATTCCTGAGGCTTGATTTGAATTCAGTTCTTCCTGACTCCAGACCCAGCATTCTATCCACTAAGCATGTATAAACAACAAAACATAAGTGGCCACAGGGGAGTATGTGATTAAGTTCATACAAATGGTACAGTGCTTTGAGTCAGATGAGGGAAAGATCATTCTGGGCTAGGCTGGTGGAAATTGATGGCCATCAATATAGGGGATGGGATTTCAATTGCGTCTTGAAGGATGGACAGGATTTTGAAATCCCTTTGGCTTGGATACCTGAAATTTATCTTGATATTTTCACAAGTCTGGCAAATTTTGAGAATTAGGAACCTGCCTATACAGCCTGATTTTTTTCCTATTTGGGAACTTTTCACATAGCTCTAGTGGGAGGGAAGCATTGGTTGCAAAAACAACCGTTTAGAGGAATGGTTGCTTTGGAGACTGCATCTTGCTTCCCAGGCAGAAGATGGCTAATGCCACACAATGGTTCTTAATAGAATAACAAACCTGTACTTCATGAAAACCTATCCCACTGAGCTTCAGGGAACAAAGCTTCAGAGGCCCTGAATGCTTTCTCCTGGGGTAGCATACAAAAGATGATGGCATTGCATGAACTTGCCATCTCAGAATACAAGTAATTTCACTTCTAAATGCTGAATGTTATGTACAGACACAGGCACAGGCAGGTGCTAGGAACAGAAGCTTAAAGGACAGAATAATGGCTCCTTAAGACAATTAAAAATAAGAGATCACTGCTTTAAGTTTATACTCAGTGAGACTGACAGAGACACTATGGAGAACAAACAAGAAGGCAAACTCCCAAACTTCAAGAAAAAAAAATCAGAATGATATCATCGTCCTGGGAAAGTGTGAGGTATAAGAAAATTTAATGAGATAAAACAAACACGTTATCTTCTCCCTCTACAGGGATATTTCTTCTACCAAGCTGGAGGCACTGCCTAGCTATGGGCTGGAGTCCATTCAAGTGTTAATTGCCACATCATCCTATTCCCTAAAGAAATTACCACCCCGGGAAAAATTTGTCAGTCTTCTGGAAGCCACCTTAACTTACCCTAGCCACTGCTGTGCATTTATAAACCTACCAACAAAGGAGTAAGTTGTTGTTGTTGTTTAAGAAGGAAAGAAAAGAAAACCGACTGCAGTTGTTCCAAAAACTCACATTTTCAGACTAGCCAATGTCAACCCCCTAGAGTGTGTGTTAGGCAGCTGCATGTGAGTGGGGCTTCTGTCAAGAGAGAGAAGAATAAGAGAAGGAAAAGGACTTTTTCCCTAGGGGAACACTATTGCCAAATAGTTCATTCACCCTACATCTGCAATGCCTCTGTCACCATTCTAGGCTAATTGAATTATAGCCTAATTTAGTCATTGAAAAATTGAGGACATAACTTGGCTCGTCAAAGTCAAATCAGCCCCATGCCTCCTCAGAATGCACCATTTCCTTGGGGGATGGGGGGAGGGAGCAGGGGGAAAGAGGTTTAAATTAACACAGTGTCTTAATCTTCTAAGTAAAACAGACACAAAATACTGCAAGGGGATTTCCTCAGTTATTCCTCTCCCAGGCATGCTGATGAGTGCTCTCCAGTTTTTTTTTTCTTTAAACCCCAGAACAGGAGCCCACAGAAGCTCACCCATGATTAATTCTCTTAATAAGTAACAAAATTGATGAGGGCCACCGACTTAGTTTGTTCCAATTTTGGACCCTTTATTGCCTGCGGCTTCTCCAGTTTCCCTTGGGGAAGGAAGCTTTCTGTGCCTGTTTCCCCATTCTCAGAGACCAAACCTAGGACCCAAAGCAAATGGGGAGGGGGGGAGTAAGAGGTGGAGAATAGCAGGAGGATAGGAGGATGAGACACTTCCCACAGAAATCCACCACTGCCAGCAGCTCTCTCTGTCTGTCTCTCAATGTCTCTCTATCTCTCTCTCTCTGTCTTTGTCTCTCTGCATCTCTCTCTCTTTCTTTCTCTCCCACCTCTTCCATATCACAACAAACATATTCATGGGCTCTGGAATTAATTGTATTGTCCTGTCACTGCTGCCCTATGTGTGACACAATGAGAAAGAAATTCTCCACTATCTTGAGGTGTTAATTACCTAGACATAGGACCTGCTCCTTCTTGACTTTGGAAAGTGCTCTGGCACAAATTGGGAGGAAACCAGAAGCTATGTAGAAAATGAAATAGATTTAAGTGAATTCAAATCAACAAATATTTATTAGGCACCTACTAGGAGCATGACACAATACTAGGCACAGGAAACACAAAGACAAAAATAAAACTGCCCTCGACCTAAGGGCAGAAGGATCCAGCTTGTTGCTGAAAAGTAATAAAATTGGGACTATAAGAAAGGCTCCCCTGAGGATCTGACACCTAAGTTGAGTCTTGAAGGAAGCTAAGACTTCTTAGAGACCAAGATGAGACCAAGATGGGGTGTGGATTCCCCAAATGTTGGAGAGCACTAAGGTGGGAGATGAGATGGTGTATTCGGGGAACAGCAAGCAAGCTAGTCTGACTGGAATAAAAAAGTACATAAAAAAGGTGATGTGAAAATAGTCTAGAAACGTGGGCTAGAGCCAGACTTCATAGGGCTTTAAATGCCAGGCTGAAGAGTTTGTACTTTATCCCAGAAGGCCTAAGGAACCAGCAAAAGGTCTTGGAGGGGGGTAGGTAAGTGGCAACATGGTCAGATCAGTGCCTTAGGAAATTATTTTGGTATTTGTATGGTGGATGGATTGGTGAGGGAAGGAACAATAATAGTCCAGGCAAAAAAATGATGAGGGCCTAAACTAAAGTGGTAGCTGTGAGTGGACAGAAAGGGAAAGATATAAGCGATGTCACACAGAGAAAATCAGTAAGACTTGACAACTAATTGGATAGGTGGGGAAAATAAATGAAATTACTTTTCAGTCAAGGATGACACATACATTGCCAACCTGAGCAATTGAAAAGATGGTTCTGCTCTCTGAACAGAAATAGGGAAGTCTGGAGAATGGATAGATTTAGGATGGAAGATAATGAGTCCCATTTTGTATATACTTAGTTTCAGGTGCCTATGGGACATTTAGATAGAAGTGTCTAATATATAACTTGAACTAGAGAAATTAGGAATGGATATATAGACTTAGGAGTCATCTCCATGGAGACAATTGGACCCACAGGATCATCACTGAGATTATATAAGTAGGTCAGAAAAAAATTTAGCTACATTGAGGTAAAAGGGGAGAATCAAAGAAGGGAGAGAACCATTGGAAAGCGCAAAGATAACTTAATTCAGACAAAAGGCAAAGCTGGGTCAGTTTTCATTTTGCTTCTATTTTCTCCACCAAGAAAGATCTCTGCACTAAAAGGGACTCAACAAAAATGACCAATACACATTTTATAATGAAGATAATTATGGAGACACTGAGAGATCCTACCTGCCCTTGATGAGTTCAAGTTACCTGGCCCAGATAAACTATATTCCACTTATTGAACAATCTGGTGAAGGGTAATTAATAAGCCAGTGTCAATGTTCTTGGAAAGGCTAGTAGGATTGCAGAAGGGAAGATTCTGTCTTGATTTAAAAGAAAAAAAAAGGAAAAAGAATGGAGCCTACAAACTATAGGCCACTGAGAATGACTTTCATTCCTGGCAAAAATCTAGAACATGGCATTAAAAAGAGGGTTAATGAACATATAGAAAAGGAATTGGTGGTAGCAAAGAGCCAGCATGGCTTCACCAATAAGAGGACTTTCTTTCCTTTTTTGACAAGGTTATTAAACTGGCAGATCGGGGGACACTGTAAATAAAGTCTACTTACCTAGTGAAACATTTAAGAATCTATTGTGCTCTGTTGTGGAAAATTGGATTGTATAACTGTGTGGAGTAGGTGGTTGAAAGTCTGGCTAGAGAGAGTAGAACTTAGAGATCTCCAGTGGAATGTCTCTAGACTCTGTGCTTGGCCTTGGGCTATTTCATATTTGTATCAATGATCTGTTGACACAAACCTGGGAGGGATCACCAACACATTAGACAGAAAAGGAAACATTTTAAAATATCTGATCGGATAGAACAATGGGTCAAACTATTTACTAGGTATAAATGTAAAGTCTCATACTTGGTTCAAAAAAGCAACTTCACAAGTTTGTATTACCATTCACTTGTTTATATATAGGTGTTTGCATGTTGTCTGCCCATTAGACTGTGAGCAACTTCAGAGCAGAGACTGTCTTTTGTCTTTCTTTGGATCTCCAGTATTTAGTGCAGTACCTGGCACATGGTAGGTATTTAATAAATGTCTGTTGACTGACAGTTACCAGATAAAGGAAGAGTATTTAAATAGCAATTCATCTGAAAAATGATCTAGGTGCAAGGAAGAGAATGAAAAAAGAGTTAGATTAGTTGACTTCAAGTTCAACAATGTATGATGGCAGCCAAGATTAACACAGATTTTTTAGAATTAAGAGGCACAATGCACAGGACTAGACAGGTAATAGTGCTACTATACTGTGCGTCCTGGTCAAATCAGATCATTTTATCTTCAGTTGTGAGTGTCATATTTTAGAAATTACATTAATAACAGCGATTGTTGTTATTGTTCAGTCATTTCAATCGTGTCTGACTCTTCATGACCCCATTTCAGGTTTTCTTGGCAAAGATACTGGAGTGGTTTGCCATTTCCTTCTCCAGCTCATTTTACAGATGAGGAAACTGAGGCAAACAGGGTTAAGCAATTTGACCAGGGTCACACGGCTAGAGTCTATCACCAGATTTGAACTCAGGAAAATGAGTCTTTCTGATTTCAGACCTGGCACTCGATCCACCATGCCACCCAGCTGCTCCCATTAAGAAGAGTACAGGAGGACAATCATGACAATGAAGAGTCTTGGGGCCGTGAGGATTAGTGGAAGGAAATTTGAATGTTGAAACTGGAGAAGAGAAGACGATATAGCTATATTCAAATATATGAAATGATATCATGTGAAAGAAGGATCAGATTTGTTGTTCTAGGTTCTAGAAAGGAAGTTGGGGACAAATGAATAAGCATTTATTTAGTGCCTACTATGCACCAGGCACTGTACTAAGTGCTTTACAAATATGTCATATTGGGGGCAGCTAGGTGGCGCAGTGGATAGAGCTCCAGCCTTGAAGTCAGGAGGAACTGAGTTCAAATCCAGCCTCAGACCAAACGCTTGACACTTACTGGCTGCGTGACCCTGGGCAAATCACTTAACCCCGATTGCCTTACCAAAAAGATAAAAAACAAAACAAAAAACAAATATGTCATATTGGCAGAACAAGTAGCAATGGGTGGAAGGTACAAAGAGGACAATTTATGTTTGATGTAAGGAAAAACTTCCTAACAAAAGTGGAATGGGCTGCATTAGTAGGCAATGGATTCCTTCACCTGAGGTCTTCAAGGAAAAGCTGGACGTATATGAGCCAGGTTTATGGAAAGGGGGATTTTTTGTGCTGGAAACACAAATAAATTTAAGACAGAACCTTTGACCTTAAGGAGCTGGGAGAAAAGAAGAGAGACATAATGCTTAACATAGGATCCTATATAATTAGGCAGGTACTTAAAAAAATTTTTTGATGATGATGATGATGATGATTCCCTAATCTTACACTTCCAAACCTACACTGCCAAGGAAGGGATGTAATGAACCTTCTGGGAGCAATGAGACCTAAAATTCAGTTCAGGTGCTTTTGGTTCTGTTTGTAGGGGGGAAAAAACTATCTCTGAAAGAAACAGGTTATGAGATACAAGTCAACAAGCATTTTTTTAGAGGCAGCTGGGTTTTGCAGTAAATACAGCACCAGCCTGGGAGTCAGGAAGTCCTGATTTCAACTCCTGCCTCAGGCACTTATTAGCTATGTGACCCTGTACAAGTCATTTACCCTTTCTATGTCCTAGTTTCCTCATCTGTAAAATGGAGATGAGAATAATAGAACCTACTTCCAGAGTTGTCGTGAAGATCAAATGAGATAATATATGTATAGATCTTTGTAAAATTTAAAGCACTGCACAAATGCAAGCTATTGTTATATTAGTGTCGGACTGAGAAGGAAATAGCTTCAAAATGAAAGATTCTTTAGATCAGGATTCCAGGCTGAAGCACTAAAACTCTGGATGCTGCTGGCTGTTGAAGGGCTTAAGTTGGATGCCAAAGGAATGTTTGTTCAACTTGGTGTCACAACCCTGACCCGCAGCTGCAACGTACTAGATAACATACAGCTGTGTTGAGCAGATGGTCTGAAAGGCCATTTGGTATCTTTTATGAAGGTTTTCATGAAGATAAAGAGGGTGATGCCAAGAGACTGCATCTGAAAGCCAAGTACATTCACATTTCTTCTCAATAGCAGATTTGTCTCCAGAGAACACAAATACCTGCATAACACAGTATAGGGACTGGAGGGCCCAAAAACATTCAATCCAGGGTTTGGGGCAGCAGCTGTGATACAGCAGAAAGATCAGAAGGGGAGTCAGGAAACCTGTGTTCAAGTCCTGACTCTGACATTCACTAGCTCTGTAACTCTGGTCATCATGCCCTTCTCTCCAATTAGTCAGCCAAAAAGCACTTATTAAATGATAACTACATACCAGGCATACAAAGAAAGGCAAATACAATCCCTCTCCTCAAAGGGCTTACTTTCTAATGGAAGTAATAACATACAACTACATACAGAGTAGCTATGGAGCTAGTGCTAAGGGAGACCAGTAAAAAGCTTCTTGCAGGAGATAGGATTTAGCTGAGATTTGAAAGAAGTCAAGGAAATCAGGAGACAGAGGTGAGGAGGGAAAGTATTCCCAGGCATGGAGGCTAAAAGTAAAAAGACATGTGGAGGGGAATCAAATATAAGAAAACTGGGAAAGTAAGAAGGGACCTGGGAGGAATGGTTTTAAAAGCCAAACAGAGGAATTTATATTTGAACCTGAAGGTAATAGGAATTCAGTGGAGTAGGAGGTGATATGGTCAGACCTGCACTTTAACAAGATCACTCTGACAGTTGGATTGAAGCAGGGAGAGATTGGGGAAGGAAGACCAACCAGGCTATTGCAGTAGTCCTGCCTGTACTAGAGAGATGGTAGTGTCAAAGGAGAGGAGGAGGTTTATAGGAAAGATGTGAAGGCAGAATTGACACCCCTCTGGCAACAGATTGGATGTAGGGGGTGAGAGTGAGAAGTCAAGTTGAGAGACTAGTGACTAGGAGGATGGTTGTGCCCTCCACAATAATAGAGAAATGGATGGGGGGCACAGTTTGGGGAGAAAGATGAATCTTGTTTTGGACATATTTGGAGTACCTCCTCCATAGCCTCCTCACCAAGCTATTACCCACAATGCTCTGGAGAACTTCTGCCCTGGAACACCTGTCTCCTGGTTGATGACTGCTCTCTCAGAATTCTATTTCACAAAAGTCCCAATCACATCACTACACATCACTCTCTCCTTTCTGGCTACCTCCACCACAGCCTCTTTGCCAATCCTATTACTGCTCCACCACCACCCCCACTCCAGTTCTGGAACCATGAAGCATGGTCAGATCAACTCTTATATCGTTCCTGGATGGAATAGGTCTTTTCCCCTGGGGCCTCACTCACCATTGGTACAACATACTCTCCAGTATGTTGTTCCTCCCTCCCTCTCTCCCCTCTGTTTAAATATAAGCTCCTTGAGAAACTGTTTTTCGTTTTGTATTTGTACCCCCAATACTTAGCACAGTACTTGGCACAGAGTAAATACTAAATATTTAGATTTTTTTTAATTTTATTTCATTCCTTTATTCTCTGGGTTTCAGTGTCCCCATCCATGAGACAATTGGATTAGATGATTTATAAAGTCTCTTTCAGTGCTAACATTTTGTGATTCTGCATCCATGAAGTGTAATCTTACAAGTAGACATGGAAAGGCACCCATCCATAATTTTGTAAAGGATAGTTCATTCCTAACTCTGACACTTAACCCACCTTCTCACTTTTGTACAAGGGGGTTTATATTAGGACTTCTCCAGTCAACATGGCTGAAAAAGATGTAAAGATTATCATGTACTTCTCTAAGGAAATACTGATATTTTCACATCTTACTTAATCTATTTTCCCTTTATACTTAGCCCTAGCTTGTTCTTAGGTATGCAAATACTGATACTCTTTTATGTTATTGCTATTTTTTCCAAATGGCTATTGGCTAATCCATTTAGGGATTTGGGAGATGGAGGGGAGGGTAGAAAACATTTCAGTCCATAAATATAAAAGCATTGATATCCAAACTAGAACGTAAGGTCCAAATCCTCAACTTTTGTTCAGTTTTTGCAAAACAGACCTCAAGATATGATTCAAAGCTATGAACTTTTACTAGTTACCTACTTACCAAGGCCAAAGTAGAGAGGATAGTGGTGAACAGCAAGCCTTAATATACTACAAGGGAAGCTTTTAATGAGCATTGAGAGAATCATGCTTCATTGTGACAAATACAAGATTTTTTCTCTCTAGAGCCCACACAAAATACTTAGCATTCAGGAGTGTTTTATCTAAGCTGAGAACACTGTAATGACAATTCAGAAGCCTTTAGTTTCCCACCAGGAAGCACTTCAGTTAGGACAATGGTGCAGAACGTAGATGTCAGTGTAATAGGTAAAGAATTTGGAGGAACAAAGCATAAATAGACATGATCAGATTTCGTTTAAAAACCAAAAGCTTAACTCCTTCTTTCTTTTATTTTAGCCAGAATATTTCACTTTTCATTTTTGAAAACTTTTCCAAACAATGTGAAAGCACAGCAAGGAAACCAAATAATGAAACATTGTAAGTATTTGCATGCAAAGAAATACAATTCTAAATGCACTTCATTATTTTTGATACAAAGGTGTTTTTTTTTAAATATCAGATCAATCTTGGAAGGGAAGAGTGTTGCAAAGGATGTTTTAATAGATGTAAATCAGTAATTTCTCTTTTCAAGTGACACCTGACAAGACACAAAAAAATGGCACATTGTATCTAACTGATCACTGCTTATATATATTTCAAAAATTAATGGATTTATTCAAACCCATTTTGAAGTCACTAATAGCCAGATGATAACTTAATTTGTGGTGATCTGACTGGGAGAGCCCTTTCTCCATTTGGTCTATGTAGTAGATAAGTTATAAATTGGTTTTGATGAATTCTAGACTGTTTCCAAAGTCATCAATATAAATACCCTGGAGGCATCTTTCTGAATAGGGATTTAGGCTAGCTAAATCACCAACCTCCTTAGTTTAAAGTTGTCTCAGCGCCTAATCCTGGGGTCTAATACTTTGAAGCAGAGGAAAACAAGCAGAAGAAACAAGATATGTTTTCCCTGTGTCATTTCATAATGAAAGCAAAACCAATTTCCCCATTCACCAAAGGCCTCATCCCGAATCATTGTTGGCAGTGAGACTATGGACCAAAATGGGTGTCTAAGAGCTATATATGAGGAAATTTAGGGAGAAGGGAGAAACTTAAGGGTATTTATACATGGAAGAAATACCTCCAAGATACACGGTAAGGCACTCATAGTTTAATAAAATATGCCTTTTATTGACCCATATCCTCCAACTTCATCTATACTATATTGTAACTACATGTCGGTTGGCATATCTCAACTATTTATTTCTAATAGACTTACCTTCAAATATAGATGTCGTTGCCTCAGAAAAATAATCATTGCTCCATCCCTACATTTCCTGAGGTTCAGAATTACCATTACATGCAAAACCAAGTGCCCCCAAGATAATTATTGTTTGTTCTTCTATATCATTAATTTTCTTCTCTTTCAGTGCACTCTTTTCTCTTCCTTTTGTAAATCTTTTTTTTATCCCTGTCTCACATGTTTAAAGGCAGAAAACTTATTAAAATTGAAAAGTATGATATGGGAACTGATACATCACACAGTTAATAAAGAGGCAAAGATTCCTATATCAAGTTGTTTTCATCTCCATAACTACACTTAGAGAGTAGTATCCCTTTGGTGAGCATCTCCCTTCTCTCATGTGTTAACATCTGTTTTCCAAACTGCTCTCTATATTATTATTCACATCAAACATCTCTTTGAAGGCCCAGTTCTTAAGACTTTTTTTCCCTATCATTTTCTTATTTCATAAGGCAGATTATTGGGTTGGGGCAGGGGAAAGAAGAAAAGTGTAAGTGACCAACCCTAATTTAAGATATTTACAAGGACCTTGACAGGATAATAGTAGCTTCTATAGCCTCTGCTATTTTAACAACAATCTATCCCTCCCCACCAAAAGGAATATTTATTGGGCCTGTGTACATCATAGTATTATAATCTTACCCAAACACTGAGTGCTATAGCAACTTCTTCAGAGTTAAAGCCATCTTTTTTACCTGGTTGAGATGAGAAATTTCTTTCCATTTAAATGTGTCCTTTAGGCAGTAGAACCATTTTCATAGTCTCCCTTCGCTTGACACACACCCTTCACCATGCCTTTTACTTATCTCTCACCATCATTCATAGCCTTACCCCTTCCCTCAAACTCCAGGCCTCCTATGTCCCCTAATCTATCACTGATCCTACTTCTACATACTACACTGTTGTTAGTTCAAGACTGAAATCTTAAAGGAAGACAAGTCTACCAAGAGCTGTTGCAGATTTTCAATGTAAGCCTTGCAATGAGGCTTGTACTCTGCTATAGAATAACAGCTTGATAGTAGTTTGGCTGGCAAATAAATGAGATAAATAGCTAAGAAAATGCCAAGAAAGGATTCTTTCGAGTTTAGCAAGCATATATTGTGTCTCTAAATTTGTTTTCCAAAGAAAATCATCCTCTGTAAACAGCTTCATTAAGTCTTTGCATCAATGTGCACAATCTATAAAAAAAAAAAGTCTAAATGGTGTTTTATTTCTTTCTTAAAGAACTCCTACATCAATTCAGAGTTCTGAGATAATTTAACAAATAAATGTAGACCAGGGTTTGTTGTGGTTTTGCTTCCTTTTGTTTCTTTGGCTTAAAAAAACAGTACTAAAGATAATTCTTGCATTTTTTTGTACTCAGAACCAAAGAAAATTTCTTGTTTACAACCAATTAAGATATTCTTCTTACAGCTATTCTGCCATCTTTGCGGAGAGTGAACTAAGTATCTGGGATTATGACTATGGCTTCTGCTCACCTAAAATACTTCGATGTGCTCCTGAACCAGATGCCTTTAATCCTTGTGAAGATATCATGGGCTATGACTTCCTTAGAGTTCTCATTTGGCTCATAAATCTCCTAGCAATCGTGGGGAACTTCACTGTCCTCTTTGTTCTGCTGACCAGTCATTACAAAATGACAGTGCCCCGTTTCCTCATGTGCAATCTCTCTTTTGCAGATTTTTGCATGGGGCTCTATCTGCTGCTTATTGCCTCAGTCGATTCTAAAACCAAAGGCCAATATCATAACCATGCCATAGACTGGCAGACAGGAAGTGGCTGCAGTGCCGCTGGTTTTTTCACTGTGTTTGCAAGTGAACTTTCTGTCTATACACTCACTGTAATCACTCTAGAAAGGTGGCACACTATTACATATGCCATGCAGCTAGATAGAAAGCTACAGTTGAGACATGCTGTACTGATCATGTTTGGAGGCTGGCTATTCTCCACGATATTTGCAGTGTTGCCCCTTGTGGGTATTAGCAATTACATGAAGGTCAGCATTTGTCTCCCCATGGATATTGAGACCACTCTCTCCCAAGCATACATACTGATCATCCTGGTAATCAATGTGGCTGCCTTCATCATCATTTGTGCTTGTTATATTAAAATTTACTTTGCAGTACAGAATCCGGAGCTTGTAGCAGCCAACAAGGATACAAAGATTGCCAAGAAAATGGCAATACTGATATTCACTGATTTCACCTGCATGGCACCTATCTCTTTTTTTGCCATCTCAGCTGCTTTCAAAGTACCCCTCATCACTGTGACCAACTCCAAAATTTTACTGGTGTTATTTTACCCAGTTAACTCCTGTGCAAATCCATTTCTGTATGCAATTTTCACAAAGGCCTTCCGAAGGGATTTTTTTCTTTTACTGAGCAAGTTTGGCTACTGTAAAAACAGAGCAGAACTTTATAGAATGGAGAATTTTTCAGCTTATACCTCCAACTGCAAAAATAGCTCCCATGGAGCAAATAAGGCCCCTCAAAACACACTGAAGTTGTCCACTTTCAAATGCCAATACACCACGGTCCTGGAAGAGACCTGTAGCAAAGGATGCTAGCTATAATGTAACTGTATCACCACAGGGTCAGAGTTTTATTAATACTACTGAAATTAAAGTATGCTTCTACAATTTTGTTAGCTATCAGTGATGTTTACACAAAGTATTTGTTTTGCACAATCATTTGCTCTTAATGGTGGCCATGTGGAGTAGTGGATAAGGGGCTGACCTAAAGCCAGGAAGACATGGGTTCAAATCCTGCCTCTGACGCACTTTGGCAGTGTTGGCTTGGGCAAATCTTTTAAGCTCTCCATGCAACGGAACAAGTCTTTAAGACTATAAGACACAAAGAGGTTGCCAACCTGCATTGGTGAAGGGAATTTCCTCACCTGAGAGATCTCCATACTGTTGAGATCACAGGTCCAATACCTGGCCTTATCTTACTTGTTCTTAGACTCAGAGGACTGAACTAGACCTCTAGAACATCATATCCATTCTCCTTCCACAGGGTATTATATTTCTAAGATGTTCATAACAATGTAAGCATCTAATATCCCTTACTTGCTCTGTGCAGCTTTTAAGTGTCCTGAGGATATGGAAATGTTATATTTGTTGTTCAGTAAATGAAATGTATTAGGGAAAATAAATCTTCTTTAGAGGCACCATCTTTTTACTTTAAATAGAAGAAAACTTTGATGTGCAGTAATTTTTATACGTTTTGGTGGCAAACTAATACAAATGTGTTAACTCTCTGGTAGGCAGGGGCTTTATTTGGTATTATTACTACATGTGACATAATGGTTTTCATTTGAAGTGGGGTTTTTTGTAGACTCTTGGCTTTTCACTAAATACATTATAGTCATCACTACTTAGCTGTTTCTCAACACATCTATTCTACCCTCCCCCATCCTTATTTGATGGCACAACAAAAACTGTCTCTTTATATACATTGTATTCTTATTAAAAATCCCTCTTCTTGACATGAGAAGACCATTCCCCCCAAATCTTTGCAGAGCTGAGGACCACAGGAGTGCACCACCACATAGAATGCCAGACTTGTTTGATGTACTGATTACTTTTGTTGAACTTTTTCTTCCTCTTTTTTTATTCTTTGTTATAGGGAGTGGCCCTCTGGGTAGAGGGGCACAGTGGGAAAATCAATGATACAAAAAACAAGATATCAATAAAAATTATTTTTAAAAAAATGATAAATGTGACAAATTGAGAAATTTGGGAATGCTTGTAGGAACTGAGAGAGAATGAAGTTAATGGAACCAGAACAATTTGCATGATGACCACAATAATGTAAAGGAAAATAACACTAAGCAACTTCAGAGCTCTGGGTGAAGCAGTGATCAATCCTGCTTTCAGAGGTCTGAGAGTGAAACATAACAGCTGCCCTCAGTTAAGAGGTGGGGGAAATGTACAGGATTTGTTTTACTTAAGTACAGTCCTTTCTTATAAGAGAAGCTTGTACTGTGGAGGGTAAGGAAGGAGCCGATAGCAATATTTTTTTAAAAAATCAATAAAGAGATTTTTAAAATCTCTTCTGTGGTTATTCTTTTTCCTATTTTCATATATTCTGCTTCTAACAGTCTACTGCCTTTATCCAAATACATTCCTCAATTAATCTGCCTCCCTCATGAACTGGCATTCATGAGTTTCTCCCTGAAATAATATGAAAATAAAATGCTAATTTCTCAGGGCTCTATAATAATATACAATAATCTTTTTGATTCATATATAAATTCAAGACCCAAAACAACAAAGTAAGCAAGAAAGCAGAAAATATAATCACACCCATTCTTCTCTAGGTATTTCACCTGAAATAGGTCTCAATGTACCCTAAATTGGACATAGAGAGGTGGAAGTCTATATGCCTACACTGAAAATTACTTTGATGACATTTGACACATATTAATCTTGATTATATTATGCTATATTCTAACAAGTCTAAGAAATATACCATCATTTTCTCCAACACTGGTTTGAAAAGTCATCCATGACTCATCACTACCCTATTTCTCTCTCTCTCTCCCCTACCTCAAGTCACCAAGTCTTATTTATTCTTCCTTTGTATTATTTGGAATGCATCAACTCCTTTGTTTCCTACTAATTCCACTCTCATTCACTCCATCACCTCACACTTGGACTTTTGTTATCAAAAGCTTCCTAAGTAGTCTCATTGCCTCGAGTATCTACCCTCGATCTATCCCATACACTGCTACCAGAATCTCAGTAAAATTCTACTTTCAATTAAACTCAGCAAACATTTATTGAGCATCTGCCATATGCAAGGTTCTGAGCTCTTCTGAACTCAAAGGGCTTATGGTATACTAGGAGAAAGCTAATTCATACACAAATACGCTTTCGTATCTTAATTTGTATATGTCATAAAGATAAGTACACATTCAAAGGAGGAAAGGACTACTTCTGGCTGAGGGTACAAAGGCAGCTTTATGGAGGAAGTTGCATTTAAGTTGAGCCTTGAAGGGTAACCCATGAGATGTTGGGGACAGTATTCTGGGAATAGGTAATGACGTAATAACAAAATTGATGATGATGATAACAACTAGCATTAATGTACTTTTATGTTTGCAAAGTGCTTTACATATGACAACCTTTGAGACTGGTACTAGTATTATCCCCATTTTACAGTTGAGGAAACTAAGGCTGAGGGAGGTTGACTTGCTCAGAGGCACACAGCTTCTAAGTGTCTGAGGCAGGATTTGAACCCATTCGTACCCATTCCTGCCTCATGGTCCAGGATTCTATCCACGTCACATAAACAGAAGCATAGTTTCAAGTCAAGGCAGTAAGTATTTATCAGGTGCTTACTATATGCCATGCACTGTGCTAAATGCTGGCAATACAAACACAAGCAAAAAGGTCCCTGACTTCAAGGAGCTTACATTCTAATGGGAGAAGATAACACATAAAAGGATATTTTAAAAGGCTGAGGTAGGAAAGAGAAAACTCTCTTGCCGGGTATGGGACTAAAGTCCAGAAAGTGAGGAATGGAATCTGGAGAGGAACGGATGTGGGGAAACTTGGGTATGTTCAGGGAAGAGTGTTCCAGTTTAGCTCATCTCTATTATGGGCGAAAGAGAATGCTCTGGAGTAAAAATGGATCAGGAGACTAAAACCGGCGTGCGGAGCGTCTAGCATGCAAAGCTAAGGAGCTAGGACTCAGGCAGTGGGGAGCCTTCTGAGCAAGGACTAACAAAATCAGACACAGGCATTACAAAGAGCTACCCAGCGGGGCTGTGTAGGATGGATGGTGTAGGTGGCACTGTGGGAATAGTACCAGCTCCGTGATCAGACAATAGCTCAAATCCTGACTCTGCCATTCACCACCTGCGTCACGTGACCTTGGTTAAGACGGTCCATCTCCCTTAGCCTCAGTTTACTCCTTTGTAAAATGAAAGAGTTGGACTAGATGGCCCCAGAGGTCCCACCTGGCCCTAGACTGATGATGCTACAATCCTGCGGTTGGAAGATAAATTGCTGAGGATTGATGGCAAAAAGCGATCAGGGCCTGACTTGAAGTGGAGGTAGAGGCAGCAGCGTTGGAATGGAGAGCGGACATGGGAGACGCTGTGCAGGGAGATAAGAGATTCTGAAAAAACTCGGCAACTGATTAGACTTGGGAGCAGGGCAGAGTCAGGAGTGGCTGAGGCGTTCGGCGAAGCAGAGGCGACTAGGAGAGTGATGGTGTGATTATCAACAAAAGGACGGCTGAGAGGAAGAGTGAGATTTTGTGGGGGGCTTGCAGAGAGAGAGATGACGTCTTCCTGAGTCTGAGATCCCTACGGCAGACATCTAGATACGCCGCAGTTATGCTGCTGTGATGAAGCGCAGGCCCACAGTGACATCACACCGCATCAGCGCAAGGAAGGAATACGGGTAACACGCTTCTACAATCAAAGAACTCTCCATCGCACTTTGTGAGACAAGGATGGTCTTCCCCCGAGTGCCTACTGCTCTCTCCACAGTGTGTTTTTTTTCCCTGACCGGCTCTGCAATTGCCGTCTTTGGACTGCTGCTTCAGACTCCTTTGTCATTCCTTGCCTAGTCCTTTGATGTGGTGATCACCTCACAACACAACATTCTCTAAAAATGACTTGGATCGTAGCCTCTTTTTGACAAGGTGGGAAAAGAGGGAGTATGGATAAGTAACTCAGGGCTAGAGATACAAATTTGGGAGTCATTTCTATAGGAGTGAAAGCTGAAACTACTGGGTAAAAAGAGGGCATGAAGGAAGAAACTGGAGAGGGGGGGAAAGGGTCACAACATTAGCCTACATCAAGGGGTAGGGAGGAAGAATAAAAGTCATCGAAAGGATAGTCAGAGGTAGAAAGAGATCTAGAATGGTGTCACAAAAGCCACTGGAGTCATCCATATTCATTACGGATGATCATTAGTGTCCTATGATGAAGAAAGGTCAAGGAATCACAGAATTCAGCCTTAGAAGGTAGCCCCATGGCCATCTAGTCCAACTCATATCTGAAGAATTCCCACCACAACATAGCAAATAAATGTTCGTCCAACCTCTGTTCGGATACATCCAATAAGGAACACTACTTCCAGAGGCAATCCATTCCACTTTTGGACAGCTATAATTAATTATTAGGAAGGTTGTGTGTGTATGTATGTGTATCTGGATATCAAGCCTAGGTTGGTCTCTGCAGCTTCTACCCCTTGCTTATATTTTATGAATATTTTCACAATAGAAAAAAATAGAACAAGTTAAATCCCTCTTCTACATGAGAGCCTTCAAATGTTTGAAAATAGCATTACCCTTCCCCCTAGCCTTCTCTTCTCCAGCCTAAACATCTCCATTTCCTTCAGTCAGTTCTCATCTGGCATAGACTTAAGGTTCTTCACCATTATGGTTGTCCTATTCTAGGAGATGAGGACTGAGAAGAATTCATTATCTTACTAGCCTTGATGAGGAAGCAATAGGGAAGTCACTGGTGACCTCTGAGAGTAGAGTTAGTAAAATGTCTGGGACAGAAGCCATATTGCAGGGGGTTGAGGAGTGGGAAATGAAGTAGGGG